GTTGGTTGTGAAACAAAATATTGTATTTATTTAAGAACCCAGAGATTCTGACGTGCAAAATTTTTTCAAACACCTTATCAAAAGAATTAAGAAGAGAAATAGGTCTGTAATTGCTCACAATATTTTTATCGCCTTTTTTATGAAGAGGGCGGATTTTGGAGTGCTTAAGATGGTTTGGATAAACTCCCAGCTCAAAGCATTTATTAATACATATTAATAGGTTATCAATAAAAAGGGGATAGAATTCTTTAATGATGCATGTAGGAATTTCATCCGGTCCCGCGGAATAGGAAGATTTAATAGCTTTAAAAGTACTTGTAAGTTCCTCAATTGTGACAGGAAATAAAACAAAGCTATGAATATTTCTAACAATATACGAAACAGGGGAGCAGCAAGTGATGTTCGAGATGATGGAGGAAGTCAAATTTGAAGCCTCATTAACAAAGAAGTTATTCATTTCGTTGGAAATATCATTAATGTCATTAATTATTACATCATTAATTGTCAAAGATTTAATTTCTACCGCAGATTTACGTTCTAGATTCAGTTCAGAATTAATGAGAGACCACATAGTTTTTTGCTTGCAAGACGAGTGCCGTATTAAATCTTCGTTGAATTAAATTTTTGCTAGATCAATTAAATCATTAAACGTTTGCCTATATTTCAAAAAGTAAATTTGGAACGATAAAGTACCATTCCGTTTGAATAGACGCTCTAGAAATTTTAATCTATTGAATGATATACTTAAGCCCTTAGTGAACCAGGGCAAATTCCGTTTAGGGGCCTTGATTTTTTTTGAAGAAGGGAAAGCTAAATTAAAATTGTATAGAAAGAATGACATGAAATTATTAAATAAAGCATTAGCGTCATTATTATCCTGAAATACGAGGCTATCTTTTTCCAGTAAGGCTTTGAAACATAGCTTATTGGCTGAGTCGAAAATTCTCGAATAACTTATTTTATTGTTGAATGGTTTCGCCTTAGATGCAATCGTAAGGGATATACCGTAATGATCAGATAGAGTGGTGTTTGTGACAGAGGATTCAATGAATTGTACATTAGTAAAAAAATTGTCGATACACGAGGCCGACTGTGGAGTTACACGAGTTGGAGTATGAATAGTCTGGCTCAGATTAAATGATTGAATTAAGATCTTAAAATCATCTAACAATTTGTATTTTTTATTAAAATGGATATTAAAATCGCCGCATAAAATTATTTTATCGTATTTATTAGACAGCTCGTTAAGAAGATCGTAAAGGAGAGTATTAAATGTGGAACCATTTTGGTCTGGGGATCGGTAAACACAAATTAAACAAATATGACCATACTCAGGAGATATTTGGATAGCACAGTACTCAAATATTTTTTCAACACAACTAATCGTTGCTCAGATTGGTTTACAGGCATATCGATCTGAGGTAAAAATACAAACACCGCCATGAGCAAAATTTTGTCGACAGAAGTAGGACTGCAAACGAAAACCTTTTAGTTTGACCAACTGAAGTTCAGATTCTTTGAGCCAATGTTCAGCAAAACACAAGACATCAAAATTTTTGTTTTTGGTGATTATTTCAATTTTATTTAATTTAGGCGATAATTTCTGTATATTTTGAAAAAAAATGTTTATATTAGAAATGCTATTCCTGGGAAGAAATTGATATGATATGATATGAGTATATATATATATATATATATATATATATATATATATATATACTCATAATATGTATGGGTGCTATGTTATCTACCCCAACAAATGCATTACTAGTAGAAAGTGGGGAAATGCCGTTAGAGCTACGAAGACAATTCTTGTGCGACAAATTTGTATTAAAAAATCTTTCAATAGAAAATTCGCGTTTCATCGAAAATGTAAGTGAGGTAGCAGTAGACACAAGATTAAGTAAGTACTGGGCTAAAATTAAAACACCCAATTTAGTGAAGAGTTTCATAAATTTAGTAAGGGCAAAAAATAGTCTAGCTAGTTGCAAGAAACATCTGTATTATGACATGGAAATTTTTGATAATTCAAACAAATTGATTGATGTTTTCAATGCAAATACACAGAATTTGGAACAGTACAAAATTATCTACACGGATGGTTCAAAAAACAATCAGAATACTGGATGTGCTGTGTATTGCAGTACGAATAATGCTGAATTCGGATTCAAATTACAAAACTTTGTGTCAGCGTATGGGGCTGAATTGATTGCAATTAAGAAGGCACTAGAGGTAATAATAAATTATCAGTTTGCGAAAACAATCATTTACACAGACAATCAAAGTTGCATAAGCAAACTAAGAAATTTAACAAAATCCACAACTTTGCAAGAGGTAATTTACTATGAAATTTTGAAGTACATCCAGCAAATTCTGTGTAAAGGAGGTGATGTAAAAATTATATGGGTTAGAGCGCATTCCGGCATCGCAGGAAACGAAATCGCGGATAGAATAGCGAAACAGGCAGCTGATAATGGTGAGGTCATTAATGAGGCCACGTTAATTGACTATATAAATGCATCCAAAAACAATTGTATGCAGCTGTGGCAAAATGAATGGGACAATACATCCTCAACCATAGGTAACTACTATAAAAATATTAAGCCGTCTGTGAGCAACAAAATATGGCAACGGCTATATAAGGATGAAAGAAGACATGTTCTAGTGGCATTAACCAGGCTAAGGTTTAATCATGGTAACTTTCCTGCCCACATGTATCGATTAAAGCTGGCACCATCAAATATATGTGTCTGTGGAGTAGCAGTTGGGACTTCGCAACACCTTATTCTTGAATGCATCATATACTACAAGCAACGTGTAAATTTAATTAATGAGATCTATAGAAACAAAAATGTTAGGAAACCATTTAATCTAGTGACATTATTATCTAATACAGAAATATATAAGTTTTTAATTAATTTTATAACGGAGTGTAAAATTAAGTTATAGAATTATGTGTAGACAACCTTATAAGTATACATTTTATATTATTTAGAGTAGTAATAATTTATATTAGACTGTAAGTGGCTAGATGTAATTTAGAAGCCAATAAAAATAAATAAAAAAAAATATATACTCATATCATAAATTGATATGATATGAGTATATATATATATATATATATATATATATATATATATATATATATATATATATATATATATATATAGATATATATTAATTTGGAAATATGAACAAACAACACTCTTCTTGCACTAATTTATTAAATAATAATTTTCGCAAACGTTTCGAGACTAGGTTTGTCTCATCATCAGTGTGTTATAATTAAAAAAAAATTAAAATATGGAAATCTAAATTAGCATTTTGTGTTTTTCATTACAAGTCGTTCACTGCTCGCTGCTCATTTAATACCAACGGTCTTCGGTGTTCGTATTCTCTCCCACTTGAAAACCACTTGAAATTGTAATGTCACGCAATCAGATAGGAAGAAAGGATTAGGGTCCAGTTGAAAAATAGATGTCGTTAGGAGAAAAAATATTCTATGATGAGATGGTTTGTTTATAAGATTTGTTATACATTGTTATAATTAAAAATGTATGTACATCTATATATAAGCTACAAAGTATTATTGAGATTCAGATATGTATCATGTAATATATTGGTATCTGTCCGTAAATTTACTGTGTTACTTGTATGGGCTATTAACATCGATTCTGCAATACTTCTTTTAAATAAATCTTGTTCATAATATAAAATGTGCGGATTATTGAAATCGAAACTATGGCTGTTAGAGATAGCGTGGTCTACAAGTGTACTTTTTTGTTGTATGTTATTATTCTTACTTTGTTTGCGTTGTAATTCGTGCTGTCTTAATCTTTTTTCTAAATTTTGACATGTTTGCCCAATATATGATGAATCACAGTTCAAACAGTTTATTTTGTACACCACATCTTTTCTTTTTTTTAGTAGGTGTATTGTCTTTAATGTTTGTGTATATGTCTTGCAGTTGTAGTAAGGGTGACACGGATATGTTAATATTATGTTTATTAAAAAGCCTTTTAGATAAAAGGTGTAAATCTTTGTCTATATATGGAAAATTCACAAAACATTTATTTTCTGATACAGACAAGTGATTTGAGCAATGTGTGGTTATTGATTGTTTGTCTAATAAAAATTTAATTCTATTTTTAATTATTGGACTGATTATTTTGTAAGGGAAACTATTCATGAGTAATGTGGTAATGACTAATTTGATATTGTGATTATGAAATTTTGGGTTAGATAAAAGAATTGCATGGTCTACTAAACTGAGAACTGTGGATATGTTTATATTGAGAGGTGTAAAAGAATTAAAATTAATATACCTGCCTGACCAGCTATCTTTCCTGAACCAATTGGTAATGCAAATACCGCCGTCGTTAATGAGCTGAACATCAAGAAAATGTATAGAGTTATCTTTTTCTAATTCTTGTGTAAATTGTAAATGAGAATTATAATTATTAAATTTTTGAAATATGTTCTCTATATCATTTTTGTTAATTAATAAAAGCGTGTCATCGACATATCGAAAATATAGTAGTGGTTTGCAAATTGTAGAATTCAACACACTGTTCTCTAAATCTTGTAGCACTAAGTCTGCTAAAACGGGACTTAAAGGACTTTCCATAAGACATCCTCTAATCATAGTATAAAATTTATTATTGAATTGGAAATATGAGGCCTTCAGTAGTAAATCTATTCCAGAAATGAATGTTATCTATTATTCACTCAGAATACATTTGTTATAGATAGATATATATATATATATATATATATATATATATATATATATTATACTGTCCGATTCTAAATAACTCATCAATATATATATATATATATATATATATATATATATATATATATATATATATATATATATATATATATATATATATATATATATATATATATATATATATATATATCTCAGCATCCATTAACATGTAATCACAAGTAAACAAAACCCTATATAAACTAAGATTTTCTGAACAATCACTTACTTTGCGTAGATCTCCTCGTAAGGGCCTTGAGGAAACGGCGAACAGACGCATATTGTGTGGTTGGTCACGTTGTTTAGCACAATGTCAACAGTGTCCGAAATAACTGCTGCAGGCAAGGCCAATAGTACTGCCAGCAGCCATATAAAAGTTGCCATTACGACCGTCATGGGACGAGTCTGAAAAAAAAAACGATAGAAAAACAATAAATGGATACGTTATATACATACAAACCGATAAAATTCGTATTTAGTTTTAGAGATTGATTAAACTGAAGCTGTTGAGTAAATCGAGCTAACAAAAAAAATATTTTTCATTAAATTACACCCATATATATAAATATATATATATATATATATATATATATATATGTTTAATTTGAGTTTAATATTCGGGCGTAACATCAATAAAACTAGTATGAGAGTTTTTTTTTAAGTTTATTTATTTAAAATCCATACGTTTCGGCTTGCATCTTAGCCATCATTCAGTGGTAATCAAATTAACTATAAAAATTGAAACTAAATAAATTATATGAAAGAAAATTTCATGGAAAAACAATAATAATAATAATAATAATAATAATAATAATAATAATAATAAAACACTTACAATTTTGTATCCTAATATAGCATATGAAACCATTATTAATCTATGGTATGAGTATATGCACATTGATAAGATATATACTTTTTGACATCACAAATGGTAAAACACACTAATAAACATGATAACTTAACAAGTTGTCGAAACTATGTATTTACTCTTCGGAGTTTAAGATGGAAATGTCACATTTTTCCCAAAGCAGTTTTTAGCATGTGTTAAATTTTTTTGGAAAATTTAATTTTTAAAGCTTTATCAAAATCTTTATTTTCGACAGTACTAGTTTCCTTTACTTTCAAATATTGTTTCCAAAAATTCCTAACTTTAGTGGTTTTTGAGATATCACTGGTAGACCTTTGTTCCCGCGGATCTTTAAGCCTTGCTCGCTTTACCCTATATTCATTCATATATATATATATATATATATATATATATATATATATAATATATACCTGTTACCCATTATTATAAAGACAGTGCATCGTTTAACGAGCAAAATCCGTTAAAAAGACTGTTTACGTTACAGAAGACAAGTAGAGTTTGCACATGTTGGTACCTCATTTTTTTGGAATTTACTTCCTAAGTCTCTGAGAAATGCTGTAAAACAATTCTAAACAAATTCAAAGTTCCAAAATATTACTGCTCTGCAATTAAATTACACGGAAAACTAATGTCAAGTTTAGCGACAAATATATTTGTCACTAGATAAATTAAATTAATAGTTAACTCTGCTGATGAATATTTCTAACGAAATACAGCTTATCATATAATTGAATAACGTTTAATAAACTTAATTTTAATTCACTTAAAAGTTATCAGTATCGTTCCCAACTAATATCTTTCAAACAGTTTCTGATTTTTTAAAATCGATTCAGTAGTATGAGCTTAAATGTGGATGAAAAGTTTCACACTTTTCTTCAAATTACAAAGAAACGGCTCGGCAGATCGTCACACAAAACTGACAAACGATAGCCTTCATTAAGATATATCTATTTAAATTTTTGAAATCGGTTCAGGCGTTTTTGAGAAAACGTTGATCAATGGTCTAATTTTGACAAATGCCAAAAAACGATACTAATTTTTGCAAACTTTGACGAATTTTTAAAGTTAAACGAGTTGTCATAGCGCCGTAATATTTTAATATGATCTATAAGACTATGGTATCTAGCGTGAAAAAAAATCATGAAAATCGTCGAGCCCAGCCAATCTTTACCCAGAACTAATCAAGTCGATACCGAACCAATATCTTTTGAATAGTTTTTGAATTTTCAAAATCGAGTTGAATCGAATGGGGGCTAAAACGTGGAAAATTTTTTTTTTCACTTTTCTGCGATTTACAAAGTAACGGTTCGGCCGATTGTAGCGCAAATCGGTCCAGCCGCTTTTGAGAAAACGTCGATTTACGAAAAAAATCGGTTCACACAGAAACACACACACATACTTTTTCCAAATTTGGTCTCATTCGATTCAGAATGGCTTGATTTTTTATGAAAACATAAACTTTTCCTTTGTACAACATAGACATAAGTACAATTTGAGGATGAATGGAGACATAAGAGCAGGGGAATACAATCTGAATTTCTAATGTTAATACTGTATAGTATAGTGGTTGCTATGTATCAGTTTTGCTTTTATTCTGCTCGTTCAATTTATTTTTTTTCATACTCAAAACTTGCACGTTGAAAATGATTCAAGATACACGTAAGTACAATTTGGGGATGATTAGAGACGTAAGGGCAGATGTACAAAATCTGACATTAGGTAATTTAAAACTAAATAATATATTACTTATAATGTGTTGATATAATTTGATTATTCTAGTTCAATTTAATTTTTCCCGGTGATTGTAATTTTTATAAAAATCTGTGATTTTTAAATATTATTATCAAAGATTATTTTGTTCTATATTTGACTTCAATGCAGGTTTTTTCTCTGCACTATATACCAAAATATCTCATATTTGGGTGGTCCGGCCGTCATGGTGTACTGATTTTAGCAGTCATTTTCGATTTTTTGGTTTAATTTTGGTTGCACAGATTAGTACAAATTCGAATTAATCAATTTCAGTTTTATTTTATTTTTTTTATTCTAAAACAAAAAGTGTTATTGCTAGCTTAATATTAAAGCAAACAGCGCCACGTGTTTTTTTTTTAAACGGCACGTGGTACAATTTTTTTGTGGTATAAATTAGTACAAAATAAGTACTAAATAATACAACAGGTCTAGATCGATTTTGCAAATTTAGTCTTGCTCGCTTAAGAGTGGTCATTTCCAGTCAGCCTAGATCAGGAAACATAAAAAACGATAAAATGCAATGGTATGTCGACTTTTACAAATGATCCAGTTTCAATACAGTTTTATACTTTTATAAAAAGTATTTTTTTAACTTTCCGTAGGGTAAGTTATTGTAATGGGTTAAAAATCGAAATTGAAAATTTTTACATTTCTCGACGTTTTGAAGGTTTCTGAACATTTTGGCATACCTCAGAAAAAATGGATGTGTGTGTGTGTATGTATGTATGGGTACAAATTTCCAGTCACGTTTTCGGGCGCATGAATCAACCGATTTGAATGGTTCAAAAAACATTCGATTCCTATTGATAGGGAGATGAGCTGATTAGTTTTTGGCAAAGGCAGGTCCAGCAGTTACGAAGATAAAATGCAAAGAGTGCAGAAAATAGAAATCGAGTTTTTTAGAGAACAGAGCATCCGATTTGAATGATCTACAAAACATTCAATTGGAAATGATTGGGAGAAGTGTTTATTAGTTTTTGGCAAAAGCAGGCCCAGCCATTTCTAAGATACGAAGCTAAATGTGCAAAAAATGACAGTTTTTGAGAGAACTATGCGTCCGATTTAAATGCTTCAAATAACTATCTGCTTGTCTTAACAAAATAATTGATTTTGTAAAAAAAAAATTTTTTTGTATATCGAAAATAATTCTGATTTTATTTTTAATACTGACTATAGTTTTAATATAATTTAAACCAATAATTTCAACTTTGCAATTCAGTTTATATAATTCTTATAAATATTAGACAATGTTACAATATTAATAATAATCTATTAGAAAACATTCAGTATTCGTCGAATATTTCGTAACGGTACGGGAAGTTTCAACAATTTTCCTTAAGGCACGATGCCATACACCCCACTAGTTTAATTAATAATTTTCCACGACTATTATTTAATTTGAAAAAAAAACGTTACTTGAAATAAAACTACTTTGGCATTATATGTCCAAGATACAATGACAAAGTTTTCTACACAATTGTATGGATCTGAGAATTGTACATTTATAAAAGCAATCTTTATAAAAAGGTTTATTACTAATTACGAAACATAAAAAAGGAAGTTAAAATTTAAATTGAAAAACATAAAAAACTTGTCACATAAACAATAACCTATTATAAGAGCAACCAGTATGGTGTTGTCAACTTGACAAAATGGTAAAAAATGTTTGTTGATATTGAACATTTTATTTGAATTGATTTGGAGCTATTTTTTTTCATAAAGTTTCATTTTCTTGTATATTAGTTCACTTCAGTAAAAATAGGTATATAACCAAAATCCTTGAATCTAGTATCTAATATACATACAACTTCAAATGTTACTACCAGAAATTCTTAACGTCTATTGTATAAAAGTCATTTCAATAATCCAATCATTTTTTATCTAGCTCAATACTTATCAATTATTGTCATTTTTGGAAACCTTTTCACTAAATTTTGATCAGTCTATTCTGAATATAGATAGTGTTACCAGTGACAGATGTTTTAATTCCGATAATAATGTACAAATATTCTTCAAAACCATAAGTATTACAGACATTAATATTCAAAATCTATAGCGATTTTATTTTCATATTTTTCTAAAACATAACAAAGCATAATTAATGTAATATTATGAAAAGGCTATTGTAAATTTTCTGCAGTATATAAAATCAATCCTTGTTGTGCTTCACTGCTATAATTTATTAAGTAATTTATTAAGTAATTTAATAGTATGTTGGACATAAGTAAAGTTCAAGTAAATTCTGTTGCCTGAAAAATTATATTTGAAAGAAATCATGTTTATATTCCCAGATAGTTTTTTTTTTTAATTTACTAAGACGATCGCGTTCTGAGTAATTAGGAATTTCTATATACGGATTATATATTTCCATTATGTTCCAAATAGTCTCTGATCTATTATGTGTCTATCAAAACACAGTCTGCTGCCAGCTGTCGAGGCGGCCCCAGACTTAAAATTTAATTTAAAAAAAAGTAGTATTAAAAACTGCGAACGTCTAAAAAAATTAGCAAACTAGTTTTAACACTGTCGTGTATCAACTCGTCATTTCCATACACATCGGTCAATTGAATTTTGACTCAAACATTATTTTTACCTTATCTTCAGCGAAAGGGTAATTGCGTGTAATTGATTAGAATCTTACTCGACTCATTACTTATTTTATTATTGTTAGAACTTTATCAAAAACCAGATAATTCGGATTTATTTTTGTTGATTTAAATTTGGCTTTTTGTTTCGCCGTGCATAATATAATCGAGTATTGCTTTTGCATAACTTTTTTATCGTG